ATTTACACGAGATGTTAGACCAGCAAGATGCTTCTACAACATGATACTTCACAGCTTAGATCGGAAAAGTACCTAAAAGAATTCTCTTTATGAGTAAATCCTCAGCTTAATCTGTTTTATTTGAAGACAGTCTTGACTAGGCTGTGGCTGTAAAAAATTGTCTTCCTCACAGGTATTGAGCACGCTATGAAGAGGCTTTTTTTAAAAAGTTAGTGATTTGATTTTAAGAATCATGACTCTCAAGAATGGAATACAATTATTATTCCATTTAAAAGGTAACTACTCTATATTTAAGATCACAAAGTTGGCAAAACCGATACTTAAATAACAGAAGGTGATCATTTGCATTTCAAAATTCATCTATCTTGCTTTTTCCCTCAATTAGACCAAAACATGTTGATTCACAGGTTTGTGTGTGTGTTTGTTTCTTTTTTAAACTTATTTATAGAGCAGAATAATGGCCCCCCTGCTAGGCTGGCATTTGCTCAAGTTTCTGTCCATGTAAATTGAATCTGTTACTGGAATTTTCCCCCCTTCAGAATACCAAGGCATATTAACCAAGAGATAAAGAGATACATTGCTGATACTATCAGCTACCAGGCAGGTGGATAATGCGAGGGATTTTTTTGTTAGTTTTTGTGGGGGTTTTTGGACAAATATGTGATAAAGAGTTCTCAGGAGGCATCAAGAGCAAAGGGCTGTTTAAACAGAAGTGAATCATTCTCATCTGATCTGCTAATAACTTTGTATTCAGACATCAGCTGCTTAGCTCACTTTAAAACATTCAGATAACAAAATTACTATAAAGAAGAGGAAAGTTAAGGGAAAAAATCCTAACATTAGTCACCTCAGCCATATTAATGCAGTAGAAATTCTCAGTTACGAGTGCTTAATTTCTTCTTTAAAATCAAATAGGTTATTCTTGGCCAAAACTCCCACAGTTTTACTTGAAGTGGTGTTGAGTTTATAGGGGATGATTTATAATCCATCGTTTCCCTTGTGGGTCAGAGAAACAACATTTAACTTATCATAAGTGAACAGCAAAGATTTAGTTTGGCCATTAATCAAAGTATAGCACAGGCGCTACTTTTAAGCATCTGCAGATAGCTTTGTTGTTGCAGTAGTTAGTTCAGCATGAACTTTTTTTATTGAGTAGAAATATGCAGGAGTAAAGAGAATTATCCAGCTTTACCGAGATATTCAGCAGCACTAGAACACACCACGACTCTGAGCTTGCCAGTCCAATTCTTGAAATGCAAATCATTACAAATAAACGGCAGCTTCCGTCTCCAGTTCTTAGGTGAAGTCAGGGAAATCAGAGCCAGCAAGTGCAGCAGCGAGATCCATTAATGGTACAATGCCACCTGCCGCCAATAGTGCAGAAGTGACACCACTTCTTGCAACGGATTTAGCCTTGTCTTGAATTTACGCACAATATAAAGCGACAAGTGCTATTTCATACAAAATTAACTATATTGCTAGCAGGGAATGGCATTCAGCTTTTTAAACTCTCTCTCTTCCCTCATCTTTTTGACACTTCTCCATTTTGAATGTTTGCATTTGTTCTATTATTTTATCTATATACTGCATAATCTCCTTTCTACGTACGCAGTCACACTGCCGCTCCGCTCTTCACAGGATAACAAGAGCTGAGCAAGTCCTGGCCATCCACCACGGCAAGGATCTCATCACTGTTCCTGTACCAACGCTGTCCTGCTTTGCTTTAACACCAGGTTACAACCTCGGGTACTGAGAGCCTCAACACAAAATCCCAGAGCCTGCAAACAAGCTCCACATAGTTAGACCTCTGTTCTCCCCTTGGTCTGAAAAACTTCAACATTAATACATTATTAACCCTAGCCCCTCCAGGAATTAGATTCTGATATATAAAATGTAGAATTTAGACTCCATGGGTTTTTTTCTTCAACTAATAAAGCAACTTAAAATTTAAATTATGTCCTCAGGCATTTCACTGCTAAGCACTTTATAATTTGTGCTGTAAAAAAACTAACACCTGAAAACCTTATCAACTAAAAAGATAACATTTTCTCAAATACATTTTTACATCTTTCACATAACTCTGCAATACAATTTCCTACTTATTTTAAATTGAAGATATCCTGTAATCTCTTTAAATTTTACATTCATCCGCTCCTTTTTCTGCCTCCAAAATTTGCTCCTCAAAAAATCAATGCAGAAAAAGAACTGCATCCCAAGACTCATCACCTGTTCTCAGTCTCCAACACCAGACCCTGAAAGACACTGTTTTGATAAAGACATCTTCCCTTTCTTGAATAATTTTAATGAGTGCATTTAAATAACAAAACACTGAAACCAAGTAACATACAAGTTATCATATCCAAATCCTATTCTATCCTTTACTCTGATGAAAACACACACGGAGCTAAACACATGGAGACAAAATTTTACAAGCCAAGTCTCGCTGCATCCTCCAGTTAGGAGAGGGAAGGCTGAGTAGCCAGAGGCAGGGCCACACAGCACACAACACTGGAAACACCAGGAAAACTCAAAACAAAGTAAAGACTCACTCTGTGTCACTTAATTTAGTCACTGTGTTGTATTATGATAAGAAATCATAAGACATGATGAAGTTTTGTGAAGATCACTCATTCACCTCTACAAAACTGCAGCCCTTCAGTTTTTTCCTTCATCAGGAAAAAAACAAGCTGTGATAAACTTTTATAATCAGTTTTTTAAAGCAACTTAAAAAGAATAAAAAACCCCAAACTTGCCAATTTCTCTGGTGAGCAGAACTGAAGGATACGTATAATTTCAAAATCCTTATTCCAAAACGCAGATTGAGGAGCAATGCTACCATGATAAAGGGGAGACATGAGTTATAGGGATATAGTACACTCCTTAAAATTAAAAATGATCATCCAAATATGGGTTTGGTTTTGGTTTTTGTTTGGTTTGGGTTTTTTTTTTCCCTGTAACTCTGGTGCCTAAAGAAAGCCCACTAACATAGTTCTATTTTTAATACTGATCAAAAGTTCTAGAGCAAGATTTACCAGCAGCAGCAGCCATAAGAAAGCTGCTTTGGACTTAGATAAAGGTACAGGTATTAAATCATTGCTCAGAACAGAATGGCACTTGGGTCCAAAATATATTTTGTATTGCTAAGTTATATCAAGCACTACTCTCCTACGCAAAAAATAGCATGAAATAGCTACACTAAAATAACAGTACACTTCCCAGAGATAACATTAAGATCAAGAAATATGAAAGGTAAGAACCATAGAGCAGTATCAGTTCAGCCATCTTGCATACACCTAATATTTGCATTTGCAAATCATCTTGTAGCTCACCAGTTAGACACATAAAGCACGCTGCAGCTTGGTAGGGCAGAGAGGGCGGAGAGGAGAGGACAACTTAACCAAGAAAAGCCCTGATGGATACCACACCTGTGCTGTGAGGTGGAAATAATGATGGTGTGGAAAACTTTATTCTTGCAGTTGGGGACTTCTAAATATTATCCAACTGCTCCCTAAACACTTAATTACTGCAGGAGTTGGCTGGTTGGGGCTTACAGGGCAAAAAAAGCCTCTCTTTGGATCCTCATTAAAATACAGAAAAATTAAGCTTTGACTTTCACAGCTCATTAATGATGGCAGGGTGGGAAAAGGCTGCACTTCCATCTTTGCTACTACTCAACTAGGGAGCGCTTTGTATGAGGCTGGGTTAGGGAGGCAGGAAAATGCCTCTTTCTAACAGGACGTCATGCATGTTGGCAAAGAGGACATATTTCTATTTAACAACCACAAGAATTGCAGGGATTTCCCAGTTTTCTTGTTCTTGAATTAAAGTGGAGTGAGGGTAGGATGAAGGTGTTGGGCTTGCTTTGACAAGTAAAAAGAATTTTTTTCTGTAATATCTGCCCTTTTGATATACACCTGGAAAGAAAAGATTTTATTTACTATTTATCTCAAGAGGCTGGCATTTAAATTTTTGTTGAGATCCTACCACCTCTATTCACAGAGAGCAGTTCCTCACTGTATTGCAGTTGTGGGACTAAGTTACAGAATAAACACCTGATGCCAAACTAAGTTCAGAACTTCCATTGCAAATAACTTATTCTAAATTTCTCTGAGCACATTTGCAGACTCTGAGCTTGAGGACTACCTGCATGCCAAGTCGCAATCCCTAGCCAGACCATGCGCTCAGCAGAAAGAATATGTTGGCATTTCAAGTTCAGAATAAAAAACAGAAACTGAAAATCTGCACAGCCTCCCAGTGGTCATTTCAACTCTAAAAGTAGGTTTTTTAGGCTAGCTATGAAATTTTTAAAATATTAAGTTATAAGTAAAACACCTGATTTTTGGCTGTCACTACCACTTGACCACTATATTAGCAGAAAATAAATTGGAAAGAGGAAAAGAGGAAGGGCTCGGTTTCAAGTGCCATCCTTGCTATAAAAAAACCACAAGAGATATTGATTTTATCACCCTCATGATTGATGAAAGTAGCTCTAGAAAAGAGCTCTCTAAACTATTTCAAAGCTTGCTGTAGCTCATCAAAAATGTCAGAGGCATCTCTGAGACTATTAGGGTTGTATTTTTCAAACTATGGTTTGTTGGGGTTTTTTTTGTTTTGTTTTGTTTTTACCCATGTTCTTTGCATTTATAAATTTCTGTATGTTTAGTGTAATTTTTTCAGTCTTCCCTTTCCCTTATTTGCTCTTTTCAGTTATCAGGATGTATTCACACATAGCAAATAACTGCAAGAAAAAAAAACATTCCTTAAATTTGCTTAAACAAGACATTCAATACAATCACATTTTATGGAAAGGCTCTAACAAACACCACCACAGTTCAACAATAAAGCAGTTACAAGCCCTCTAGCTTTTGAAGCCATTCAGGAAAAAGTAAAGAAAATTCAGATATTGCATCATCTCAAGCTCTATGCTACACAGGCTCCATAAGAAAGTGAAAGCTGCTAATCTACTTTCCAAGTGAAACATTGTAGGTGATTGCTCTAACCTGGGGCACAGTACATTCTCTCTATGGCATCGTTGTCACAGGAATCTTCAACCTCCCTCCACCTGCTAAAATACGTTAGCTGAATGTGTCCTAAAAACAAAACGACAGGAGAAATCAAAACATTTTTCCCTTCCATTTTCTGCAGAAGTGAACTGTAATTACTCCTTTTGTAGCTAAAAACAGTATCATTAAGAATAATGGCATCATTAAGTACTAGAAGCTATTACTGGGGGTGAATTTGCTGCACTGATAATGAAGCTCTAGACAGGAAATGAAGATACTAATTACAAGATAAAACGCCTACTCAGTTAATTGGAAGCAACAGTGAATAAAAAGAAATGCATTTGCAAAAGTTCCTGACCTCTATCATTCAATAAGATGTTGTTTGGGTTCAAATCACGGCACACAATTCCTTCTCTATGTAAAGCATCAAGGGCTACAACCATTTCAGCTGCCCATCTTTGAATGCAGTCCTCTGGGATATAAAACCTGGAGGTTATCGCTAATCTTTCATCGAGGTCCTGAAAAATTTGATGTATTTCCTTCTCCCCTGCTGCTGCTATTTTGTCTTCCCTCTTTGGTGCTGTCTTTTTACTTTCAGCTGCTGGTAACGAAGTTAGGTCTGTTCCCTCTTCCCCAGATTCTTCAGTTTGATCAGAAAACAGCAACACTGGTTCATTTCTTAACACATCTCCATCCAAGCTAACATCTTGAGCACCCGAGAGCGGGCTGGAAACAAATAAACTTTCTTCTTTGCTTGTCATGTTCAAGGAGCAGGTTCCAAGCCCTTGAAACAGGGCCCTGTCTTCTGAACTACCTACCTCTTGGTCAGATGTAAAGAGGGTCCCAAGAGGTCCCTGAGTGACACCGCTTTGTCCATTTGCTTCTTCACAAGAAGGATCACTCACTTCTGGTGCCACATGATTTGGCTCTTGATCAAATGCTTTGCATGGCTCTACAGAACTATTTAATTGTAAGACATCAGGTGCTTCTAATCGCTTTACTTCCAATGAGTCCCTATCAGTTTTTGTAAACTTTGTTGGCCTTGAGGCTGCTGCCTCTTCTGTTTCATCAGACATACCAGGTAAGTTTATTAGGAGATCAGGCCTTCCTTCATCAACACTATTTACATCATCAAAAGCAGCGTCCTTAAAGGAGATAACCGGCACAGAGTCATTTGACCCCCTGCTTATGGTGTCATGAGCTCTCACACCCATTTTGTTCTCTAGGGCATCCAAGCTTCTGTCATTATCTGGGACAGAAAACAATGGCTTCAAAGGTTCCGATTTCAGGTTATATAATTTTTCTCCAAAATCAAGCCCCAGGAGCTCACTAGTGCTATCTTTGCTGTCTATCCTGAAGAGTTCCATGGGACTGTTCTTTGATTTAGTTAATGAGTCCAATATCCTAGTAGGGCTAGCTATTTCTGACTCAGCATCGTCAATGAAAAGTTTTCGTTCCTGAGATGCAATCTGGGAGGTGAAGCCACCACTGCCAACGACACTGCATTTCTGTAAGCAACTTCTCTCTTTGGTATTTAGACCTTCACTCTCCAGTTTAACCACTGGTTCCTCATTTAGAGAGCCAGAATCAATTTTTTCTTGCCCATATTCATTGCATAACGTTAAATAACTAGTAGTGCACTCCTCTTCTGAGCTAGATCCTGAGTCCATCCACTTCGAACTCTCTTGGCCATCTTCCTGGTTGCTGCTGTCATCCTGAGAGCTCGGCGTCAGGCTGCTCTTCAGCGGGACCACCTTCAGCATGCTCTCCCCATAGCTTTCTCTGGAATCAGTGCTGCTACCCATTTCTTTAGGACTTGGTGTCGGCTGCTCCAGGTAAATTTTCGTTGAACTGGATGTTCTGGGTTCAGGAATTTCAAAGCTCTCTTCAGGACTCCGGTTTAAGAACTTACTAACATAAGACCACAGTTTTCCTCCTGCAAGAAAAGAGACGGGGGGGGAAACGTCTTAATTTAATTTCACTCAAATCAGAATTGGTTTCATTATGAAACGGGCAAATACTCTCATTGTCACTACTTCCTTAAGCCCACAGAGAAGTTGGATCTGCTACCTCAGGAGGAAATAATTACAGGGACCACAACTTGCTTTTCAAGCAGATTTGTATTAATACATAAATATTTAAAGAGATGCCTTTTTTTTTTTTTTTAAACTTCAGTAAAGTCTCATTTCAGAGTCTGTCTCAAGTCGCATGGTGGTGACTACTCTCCATCTGCTGTCTCAAAAGAAAGCAAAAACTAGAGAAGATCAAATGGTTTAGTGCCCATCACCAGTTCTGCCTGTATGGAATACTTCTGTATCACAGCTCCAAGCTCATGAGCAATATTAGGGGAGGCAGACTAAAAACTACTAATTAGCAAGTTCAGTAAGAGGAAGGGAAGGAATTACCTCATATTAGCAGGATATTTTAAGGATCTGTTTCTCTCTTTGAATAAGTGGTCTTTTTAGTTAAATATGGATGTATTTCTCCCTTTAACTTCAGAGCTCAATAAGTATTGTTTTTTACACCTTGCTGCATTACATAAGGATTCATCAATACTCTAAGTTACACTGGCAAACCAGTTCCTTCACATCAAAGACTCTAAGGTAAAGTTACAGCTCCAAAAGCAATAGTTACATTTAAAAAATACAAAATAGGACTCTATGTTTCCAAATACTGCACATATTTTAAAAAACTTACAGATTACAAAACCTAATTTGCACAAAACAAATCAAGAAGTTACTGCATCTCTTTCACATGCCAAAGAATTCGGCTGAAACCCAGAAAGCCACCTTTGATAACTTATGGAAAAACGCAAAGACAAGGCATATCAATGTAAAAAGATTGTACAGAAATTCTGGAAAATGTAGCAGTTCTAACAAAAACTTTGTAGAAGAAGAAAATAAGTACCCAGCCCACTGGGCATCTGCAAAGTTTTGATTTTTTTTTTTGTTCTGTCTTTTTTTATTTGGGTAAAACAGAGTTTTCTATTTTTCCAAAACACAATCTTTAATAGTTTTTTTTAAACACTCTCCATACCAGGCAAAATTCTTTTAGAAAGTACAACAAAATAAGAAAGTATTTTTTCATTGCCTAGGAATAGGTTTTATATATACCCAGGTATTTCAAAAATAACTAATCAAAGGCAGAAAAACCTTGATACTTTAAAAATTAATTTGAATAATATAATGTGGAGTTTTCTTGCCCTCCATCCCCCTGGCTAAGACAAGACTTGTTTTTGAAGGGAAGGCAAATCTCACTGGTTGTGGTGAAACAAAGTGTATTAAAAACATTAAGAGGGAATTCAGTCCAATGGTAAAAATGACAATTTAGATCTATTAATCCACATGGTTTCTGCCATAAGCCACAAATGGATTTAGCAGGTCAGAATGACCCTTGCCACTTTCTAGGAAACGATGAGAAAGGTTGCCAGCTAAAAGAACAGGAGGAAATGGAACTAATGCTCATAGAGGAGGGAACAAGAACTGCTGTACTGACCACTCGATTGCATAAGCACTGTAAATACTTACCCAAAGATGCTCAATATACCTACAGGCCTCGGTAGCAAGACATGGCTCATCAATTGCTCCCAGCAGAGCAGCAGCCCTCAGCCCAGCGAAGCAGGCTGACTCCCTGGACACCAACTTACTCTGAGCTTGCCTGGATGCGAGCGACCTGTCACCCTGTATCCATGAGACCAAGGGCCCTGGTCCTGCCAGAAGTGCCTGACGAGCAGGACCTTGCCTCTGTGACATGCAGTGGGTCCAGTCAGCCTCTTAAGGTGAAGCCACTTGCCTTAAATACAACATGTTACACAGCTGCTCAGCGGGGCAAAGGCGGAGCCAGGGCACTGCTGTGCCTTCGGAGCCCTGCAGCTTGCATAGGACTTCAGAGTTACTGGGTTTGAACTGATTTGGTAAAAACAAAAATTGTTCATCCCATAAGCACCAATTATTTTTTTAATTTGACATTTTTACATTTATCCATGTTTTTACTATGGAATGGCTAGGAAAGACAATAACAGAAAAGAGAATGAGAGAGAGAGAGAGATACATATTTTTATATATGTATGAAAGACTTTCTCCTCTTTTCCACACTTTCACCCAATGAGAAAAGAAGCAACGTAAAGGTTTAACTTTACCCCAAGGTTCCAATGGAACAATGAATTTTATTAAAAATTTCAATAAATTATTTTAAGTAAACAGTGCTTGCAAAAGTAACTTTGCCCAGTTTATTAACTAGGCATGGAATTACTTAGGGTCATTCCTTAACAAATAATAAAATCTCATTTGACAACCACATCCCTGCTGCACTTAAAACATGCAAGTCTCCCCATCCCACCTGCACTATATTAATTAGTACAAGCAAATGATAAATGTTTCAATCTTCATATTACTAGTGTTTATTATCCCAGGACTCCTTCACAAATTTCTTATGAAAATACAAATCTTGGGTTTCAAAGGGAACGTGACCCACGTTACATTTTTGCAGCTTTGTACAGAGCCTGGCACGACAGCACCTCAGCCTCCAGGCATGGCTTTAATGCAAATATTCGCACCATCAGTTCTTCCTCAAATAAAGTAGTAGGAAAAGGTCTTTCTAATGGAGGCCTGGGTTAAGCTTTGGACACAGGGATGCCAAAAGCTCAAAACTTTATTTCTATGGTCTATTGTCACAGCTGTCATTACTGCATACCAAGTGTGCTTTTACATCTGACACCCGAAGGGCTCTCACTGACCTAAATGTTTCTTACCCCCTTATTAAGGTAGGAAGGGGCTGGACTGCCCCGCAGTATGAAAAGTGTAAGAACTATTCTCACATGACTTCAGTTTTCACCTACAGACAGGTCAAGTTGTCCTCAGGACAACTCCTGTCTTCCACTCCCTCCACCTCGCTTGATGCAAGACTTCATGTAGCCTCCACTAGATTTTGGTTTGGTGTAGCTTAAGAAAGGAGGAGATCCGAGTACAATTAAGGAAGGAAAACGGACATGTCGAGATCAATTCTTCAAAACCCCACAGAAAAATCACTGTAAGAGTCAAGAGGTTCAGACTATGTTTTTTAAAATGTTCAATTTCAAAGGCCTTCAGCAAACCCAAAATTTGCAAAAGACAAAAAATATCTCTTTATCCTCATAGGATTCAGGAATTAACTACTGTCCACCTGTGAAAACTGACAGAACTGCAACAATGACTCATTTTCTATTAGTAAACATATTATCTCACCTTTTTAAGAAAAAAATTGCTCATTAATAATCACTTGGACTTAGAAATCACAATGGAAATGACTACTTACTGCAACTCCAATTTAGAGTTAAATGCAAGTAAATACAAAAAAAAAAAAAAAAAAAGATTTATTTATGTCCAAATATGTTTACATACAAATATTTCAAGACTGGCCTCCTGGTCAAGTGGAAATACGTAAATAAATGCTATTCAATAATTGCGTTGTATAGTGAAAAACAACAATTTTACTCCTTTATGAAAATGGCCAATCCAGGGTCAAACAAGAGTGATATTGTGTATACCCACTGTATCTGGGTATATAATTATGCCTTTATGAATGACATACTAATAATCTTTCCCCCTCTCCCCATGTGTTGTGTAAGATCAAGAAAACCCATTAGCAAGCCATGCTAATATAGTATCAGGAATCTATAAAAACTAAAATTACAGAAATCAATCCAAACAAGTAAGCTTCAGTCATTGTCAAATAGTCTAACACACTAAATAACTATAAAAGCTACCATTTTAAGCTAAAGTTTATTAGTGTTTAATACTATTTCAGAAGTACAGTATTAACATAACTAATGAAGATACTTTTCTTCTACCATGCACTGACTCTACCACCAGTCTAGCTCACTCTTTCTGGTTTTATTAGACCATGAAAATCACCAAGCTCTATATTCTCTGCAGTTATTTAATGTAAAATTACTTATTAGAATTGCCTTAGTTAACCATATTTCCAGCACTCTAGAGGTTATACTTCTGCTTCAAGAGGCAGAATCTAAAATGTTAGTGTTCAAAATGATCAACAGGAAATTTCAGCATAGTGACCAAGTGATGAAGCTGGCTAGGAATCTTGTTAGTTCCATAATTTTTTAATATTCTTTCAAACATTTCTGCAGTTTTTTTGTTATTAACAGCACTTGATGCTGAGAAGAGAAAGAAGAAGATACAGAGACTATATAGTACGTATCACGGGATAAAATGAAACCTAAATGATCAGCAAATTTATTCTCCTTGCTGCTTTTGTTCTAGCTAACAAGAAAAATTCATGACCTGTTGCATTTTTTCCTCACCCAGTGCTCAGACATATACCATTTCAGCTTCACATCCTGAAAGGCTGGCTGACTAAGGAGACATAGTTCAAAGTAAATCAATGGCTTTTGCTAGCTTGGCTCATGAGTTTACTCTGAAGGACAATTTACTCCAACTCCTGCAGAACTGTAATGCAGCTAAGAATGCAAGAACCTATTTAGGAAACCCCAAACAATTTCAAAATGAGCAATCCAGGCTTCCAAATAATTGTGATAGGCTAGGGAAGAATAAACAGAGTACTGAAAGACATCTGCTTGAATTATTCTCCAAAACCTGGCCAAACTCTCTACATCACAGCATAAGAATTTGTCTATGGCCAGGAGTACCAATCAATAAATCATGCACCTCATGTGAATTAAGATCATTCTTCACTGCAAAAAGAACGACCTTATGGTTTTCTTAAAATCACCATCCTTTTCCATAAAGACATGGCTACTGCCAAACTTCAATGCATTAATATACAATGACTACATAAAATTATGTTTGTACAGTTTCTAGGCCAAAAGAGAACCAGACACGTAGGTACTACCGTCACACAATAACAACATGTCACAGCATCCCAATGGCAGCCACAGTGGGTTTGCAGCATACACATGAACTGGAAGCTAATCTCCAACCTAATCTCTAACATGACAGTAGTTACCAGAAGCCTATAGACACGGCGGATCCACTGCTGCTGGTGAATCTCTACTACAAAGTTTGCTAGTTTAGGCAAAGTTCCCACTTCCTGATGCACTTTGAGCAAAAGCTATTTTTCAAAGCAGCCTCCTGAAAAAGTCACTTGCCAAGGACCATATCACTTTTCCTACACTTTCCAACCGCTGTTGAATCTTTACAGCTAGTACTATCCCCTTTCCTAACAACAAATCCTCAGTTTTGCAAGCCAGAATGCTACCACCTTGTTGTCTATCAGTTCCTGTGTGCAGCAAGCCTCTTCAGAATGAAGTTTCTTGAGTGCTCTCCAGATTGATAGGAACTCCAGCTTGTTTATGCTTAAAGAGATTTGACAGCTTCTAACAGCCACTTAAACTTTGATGTCCCATGGAAGCCCCCCAGCCTATTTTTGAAGCATCTGTTTCTAAAATTTCTGGAGTTATTACTGCCAAGAAGAAGCGAGGCCTTATTAACATCAGATTGGCTCTCTACCACACTAGAATTTGCCAAGTGCTTTCCAACAAAGCTACAAGATAACTTTATGGACTTTCATGCTTCTGAGACACCCTTGAAGCCTCCAAGTATGGCCATGAGAAAAGCTTTTAAGAAAAGTCAGGACCTCTCTCACCAATTCTGAGCAAGCAATGGCATCATGATTTAAAAAAGAAAAAAAAGTCTTCACCTTGAACAAGAGTCTGGGGTCAAGCTTTCAGAATTCCATATAACTAACCGTGCTTCACCTAAATAATAGAGCTAAAATTTACTACAAACAGGAAATAGCAAGCTGCTTAGCAAATACATAATGTCTGTACATAACATTAAAATCTTCTCTGAGTTTGCTATAATTCAAGCCACTGCCTGCTTAAATGAATGTCTTACTTTTGAACTTTCCAATAGTGCAGCTAACATACCTAACATAATACATCACCACAAAGTAATATACTTACAAATTTGACTGGCAGTCTCTTCTTTCCTATTGGAACAGTACTGCTTGGAATATGAATGTTAAGAGCATTCATGAAGTTACGGAATAAAATTTCCAGAGACTATCACTTAAAAAGCATTGTCTTAGAAATTTCTATCCTTCCCAAAATAAACTACAAATACCTTCTCTATTTATATTTGGTTCGAGATGGACAAAATTTTAAGACACTTTTATCTATATGGAAGATTGAAAATGAAGCTGTTCTCCTGAATCACTATCCAGCACAGTCTCCTGGGACAGAGTGACATGGAGAGGCTGTGCAGTTCTAGAAGCAACAAAAAATTACTGCCCCAGTTAGGTATTTGGGATCAGGCCCTACACCTGCAACATGCTTTTCTGTATGCATTCTCAAGCAATTTACTCATGTCTTTGCACCCCAGCCATCCCTCTTTAGAACGGAATATATCACTCCTTTTCCTCTCCCTTTGCTTGTTCTGTGCCCAGACAGTAAGTTCATGAAAGCAGATGACTAATAAATAAATCTTGTTAATTCCCTGAAAATCAGGGAAAAGTCCTTACAGCACATCATTTTTGAATGGCTTGCAAACAAGGATAGAGGTGAATCCATTCCAAACTACTTGCCACTTTATCACAAAATAAGGGAAAACCCTATGCAGTTTATAAGTGTCCAAGTCAAGTGAACCCACATATCATCAACAGCAGCCCTCACCCACACTGAAATCCCTTCTGGTCTGTGCAGCTCCCCCTTCCTCCCCAGCACAGCCTGCCAGCGCTCCATCCTCTCTGCAGTGTTCCCTCATTCTTCCCACACTCCCTATCCCCCGTTCCCCTTCAGAGCTCTCCCTGGAGAAAGCATTCATATCTCATCAGCACCTCCTCTCCCAACTCCACCGCAAAATAACCCATCTCCCTCTCATGTCTCCCACTTGCACGGCTTTGACCCACAGCTGGGAGAAAGCCAAGATGAGCTGTGTCTGCCTTCAAGTATGTGTTTGCTGCCTGGCCAGTCAAAATGAAGATGCTTGACAGACACCACCTTCACTGCTGGCAGATCAAGCAAATGGCACGGGGTGCTGTACAAGGCTGTGTGTTGCACAAACCTGATGTGGAAGGCACTGAAATAAAATAAAAATCCTTCCACCATAGAACTCAAAATATGTTACTGCCGATGCTGGTAAGAGCAAGACATTCAGGCCAAGCATATTTCATGGGATTTGTGACCATGTCAAAGATAATCAGGAGGAAGTCTTTTCTTTACAAGGACAACACCCCATCCATCCCAAATGTTAAGCTGAGGTTTCTGTTCTTAAATGAAAAAGTTCTGACCATGCAATGTCTCCATTTTCCTCACTGTTGTCACAATAAAATTATCATTTCCAAGAGATTACCTTTGTCAACTGGTCACATTAAGCCTTCCTAAAAATTTTTGTTCTCTCCATCTGACCACTACTCCGTTCAAATTACACTACTTCTTCACCCAGTTTTCCATCTATCTTGAGATGGAATGCTCTTCCTGAAGAGAGGAGAAAAACTACAGGTCTTCAGAAATTGTAGAAATATTAGGAACAGGTTTTTTTTAAAATTATTTTTTTATCCTATCTCTAATTCTTTGATTATGCTAGCCTTAAGGGCAGTTCGTACCTGTCAAGGGTTGGTTTTTTTGCTTGTTTTGGTGTTTTTTTAAATATTATTTCTCAAAAAAAAAAAAAAAAGTAACAACTTATGTGGAGATTACAGTTCAGGTGAGAATCTCCAAGTTATTCTGCTGAATTACACACACCTCAAAAAAAGTAGTGTTGTACAGAGCAGCACTGCAAACCCTCGAGATCACCATCAGGCAGTACCGTAATGTGAGGCTTTTCTTCATGCATCACTGCTCATGGCAAAATTAAGTCACACATAGCAGAAACAACCATTCATGTTGTAAAGTTAACTTTAACTGGCCTCATGTGACAAATTGCTCATGAAAAAGCCAAAATCTACATTATTACAAAAAAAAAAAAATAATATTCAATGTAATATATTCTTTATCAGTTAGCTTAGTTCCTTCACATCATTCATTTTGACTGAATTATTAACATTTCCTAAAAAGAGAACTATTAGCAATCCCAAAATTTATATTCTGCAGTCATTCTAAACAAATATGGGTAATTACATTTAGGGACTATTTAAATCCAGGTGTTAGAAAAAAAAAAAATCAAAATGTAATTATTTTGTGCCACCTGTTCCCTGTACATTTAACAGGAATTTTATAAATAGTTCGAAGGCACAACTCTGTGGTTCTGCTTTGAACTCCTGTGTGATGCCACTAGCTATTTTCTTAAAAATCCAGATCAGAATAACTATGCAATATTAACCAGTAGGCAAATGTTCATGTTTTTTAGCAGAGAATTATTAAATTCTTCTGTAAATACTTTTCATTTTAACTATAAGATGCTAAAAAGATTTACTAGTCAAAGTTTACAAAAGTAACCAAAGACTTTATCTCAGTCAAAGCACTCACTCTTCTTCTGTAGAAAATAAACAGTTGGAAGCTTTCAATATTGCTACAATTCAAGTAACTCATCAGGATTTGAGGCCATTTGAAACAGGAATCAGATCTACTGCAGAATGAGAAGGGAAAAAGGGGGAGGGACAGAGGATGGGAGTGGGGTATCTTATATGACATCTCCTAAGGTACACTAAAAATATTTTAATTAAATGTGTAAGATTAATTTGACAACAAAATGTACCATTGATTAAAACTTAAACCTTTGACTCTTTTCAACAATATACTTAAATGAGAGACAAACCTTCTGCATGCTGTAACACAAGAAAGACAGACTCCTCGGAGATGATGTACTTGTGCAGACACACCATGTTGGGCACACAGCGGGGGATGATGGTCGTTCTGCTCCTGCTGTACTCACTACTTTTCCTTAGACCCTGACAGAGAACAAAAAGGTCAGTTGTACCCTCAGTTGCCTTTGGAGCCTGCTGTGCTCTGTGTTTATCAACCAAACTAATCTATCCGAGTTACTCTGGGCTTCAGAGAAACCACTCATCTGCTGCTCTATGCCCCTCAGTCCCCCGAGGCTGTGCTGATGGCATCTGGCGCATTTCCAGAGAACAGAAGATGGCACAAAGCTGCCATTAAAATCAATTACATGGGTCAATGTTTTTATTAGAATCTCTCTCAAACTAAGTCATCAGGATGACACTCAGTTATTTCCCTGTGACCTTTTTTAAAAATTTTACTTTTGTGTGTGACCAAAAGACACTATTAAAAAATTTCTATTCAAGTTCTAAAGACAAAAGAACGCCTTAGCCTTACAGGTAATCCTCACATTTCCATTGTACTTTACTAAAGACAACAACCACCATAACAAAAAGGAAAGGAAAGGATTAGTCTCCTTGAGAGGTAATGATTTTTGGGAGGTAGCACAGAGATGAAGTTGCCAGAAGTGAAAAAATTGATGTGGGAGGGAGAAAGGGAGGGGAGAGAGAAAGAAAAAAAAAAAATGTCAATAGTGTGACCTATTAAAATATTGATAAACATAAGCAGTTAAATGGGAAATTCAATGTTACCCTATCTGTCAGTAGATGAAGTGAGGTTCTAATATACAATATTCACAAAAAGTCCTTTCTGAGCAACAAACAGGTTTTCTGTACCCTGTACATACTTAAGACAAACAATTTCAAAGGCCAGATGCACAAAGTTAAGGCAGGGTTGTAAGTCAGACCTGAAGCAAAGTTACAAAACGTTAACAACTAATTAGAGTTCCATGTTTGGGACACAATTTTTCAGCCCTTCCTCCCATCAACAGTGGAATTCATGCCAAGGGGAGCCTGAAATAATGGCCACAATAACAATACTCAAACTAAACCAATTTTCAAGCATCACAGATGCTCTGAGCGTATTGGGATCTTTCTGAAACACAAAAGAGTAATGTGAAAAATTTTATTCTGACCAATTAACTATTCGTTAATTCAATCGTTTAGTAACATTAAACTGTTTCCACAGCCTATTGATGTAAAACATAGGAAAGCAATTTTGAATAAGACCAGTCATCCATTTCATCCGGAATTCACTTTGGCTAATATCATATTCTTCAGCTAAGGGAAGACCAAACACAAAGTGTTGTGGATGCACTTGAGCTAAGGAGAATTTTCACCTTCAACAGCAGCCCGTGTATGTCCTGAACCACCAGGGTTTTACAGATGTTTTAAGCAGCACATTGAAACTGTGATTCTTTACTGAAGCCTGCTAAGGTGTTGGCCTCAATAACTGGTGGCAAGTGAAGTGAGTAAACCAGCATATCTAAGCACTAGAGACTTTGCAGAGGAAGGAAGGGAAAGCAACTGAATACCAACAAAAAGAATTCCAGTGCACTTAATAGGGATACGTGTATTAACATAACAATATATCACAGAGATAACTCTATACATTAGATGTCAGTTGATCTCCGTGTGGTGGCTGAATGTAGGAGGCCAAACTGTTTAGAGACGTAATAAGATACTTTACTCACCTTCAGTATAAAAGTCTGCTGCGTTCTAGTGTCCATTACAAGCAAAACCTAAGCAAAAAAGTATTCAGAGAAATATTTAAGATTCACATGAGTAAATTAACAAAATATGGTTTTTAAATCTAATGTTGAATGTTACTACAAAGGAAGTGATATGATTAAAAAAAATAAAAAATAAAGCCCTGCAGCATACATATGATAACCAGTCTTTTTTTTTTATGAAAGAAAAATGGTTGAGGATATAGATCTCTAGGGAACTACCAGAATGTGTCTGATTCCCAATCAGCTAACTTAAAGACTGAATCCTAACTTGGTAACAGAAATAACCAGTACTTTATAATTACAGCAATAATCTAGCAGAACCCATTTTATAGAAATGTAATGGTAGCAACACAATGAAGCACAAAAAGTAACCTTCACATAGCACTACTTTCCTATGTCACTTCTTTTAAATCCTCACTGTACCTACCTTCCTAGGGCAACACTTTTCCCTATCAGGCTTCATATATATCAAATGTGTTGCCTACCAGTGGGGTTATCAGAGGGGATTTTTTGTGGGGTCACTAGCTACTTTCCAAGAAGTTAAACTAAGAACTGGCTACACACATGCCCAGGACAAGAAAAAAAAAAAAATGTTTTACCAACTGTACAGTCACTACTGTCTTCTTCCTTCACTGCCATTTCTGTCTGCAGTGCTCATAAGCTGCAACAGAAGGGGCTGCAAGGAAGGCCCTTTGTGCCACTATAAATAGTATTAAGGTAACAATGACAAAAAAAGGATGTATTTAGCAAGAAAAGAGCGGATGGGTTCACTGCAGAGAGGAGAACACCTATAACTGCAGAGAGAATCTCTGGTAGGAGCGCATTACCTCTATTGAAAGCACTTTAAACACAGCACAGCAATAAGAGAAGTACTAAATAACGTCCTCCCTCTTAGTAAGCTCAATTTATTTATTTGTTGAAAACAAAACAAACAAACAAATATATGTGTATGCGTATATATATGTAGGAAACTGCATCATTAAAGAGTTGAAACCCTCCACATCTCTATCTTCAAATCAACCTGCTCAGGAATTAACTGTTTTCAAACTCCAAGAACACAGATGTACTTGAAAAGCACCAGCTGTAAGACAGCCACACAAGCAGCACAAGCACAAGCTCAACCCTCCTCTAGGAAGAGCAACAAAAGTGTGCACCCACTGATTATTAATAGACATTGTAAACTTCCAGTGTAAATATTCACATACAGTTACACAAAAATACTTAGGCTGCAAAATCAAATGCCTAAAGGCTGCAAACACCAGCACTGGGGTTACCAAACTTTGAGTTCAATAGACAAGATGCAGGAACTCCAAGATGACAGCCAAGATACAGTGAAGACCAAGTCAGCTCACATCAAAAAAGACTTCTTGTCAGAAATGATGTGTCAGGAGTAACATGGTGTTCATCAGGTGACAGGAGAAGGACAACACAGTACACAGTCTCCTTATCCCCCTGCTGTGTGGGGCAGCAATGCAGTCATGCCTGCTATATCTCTGAAAGGGTGAAGTCTACCAGGCTGACACACTGGCTTTTCCCACACCAAGGGGAACTGAGGAAAGAGCCATCCCATCCAGTGCCCACAGCAAGATGGGCTGGAGACATGCAAAAGCTCAGGAGGCCAAGCCAGGAGGGAAGGTCCCAGGGCAGGGTTGTGCTGGCTTCCCCCAAGCAGCAGATGCAGCAAAGCAACCTTTGCTCTTTGGGATGGTCGCATCCAAAACACTGCCCTCCATCTCTCCTCATCACACCCTAGGGTGTCTCAAGCAAGAGGAGAATTGGAACCTTTTTTAATCATTCTTCTCTCACCAAATTTCACCAAAAGAAATAAAGTGACAGATACCTCTCCACCTCAAAGACCTCCTCTTTTACCAGGACTGCACTCAATTTTAAAATATCTTCTGGGGAAAAAAATGTCAACAGAAGTTGTTGTAACAGATTTTTTTGACAAAGGAATGATGCAGTTTCCATGCCAAGGGCACAGTAAGGAAAGGCACATGTCCCTACGCCACCGAGTTTGCTGAACAGTTTATCAGGCCTCTTACCTGGGGCCTCCAGAAACAGTGGAAACCTGCTGAATAAATAACAACTGTAAAATTGGTTTTGTTCTCCTTGCTTAACCAAAAGGTGTAAAATAGAAAGAAAGAAAGAAAGAAAGAAAGAAAGAAAGAAAGAAAGAAAGAAAGAAAGAAAGAAAGAAAGAAAGAAAGAAAGAAAGAAAGAAAGAAAGAAAGAAAGAAAATAAAAGCCACTTTCAAGAGGTGCCAAAAGAAGGTAAAAATTGTATGGAAACAAGTATGTGTTTACAGTCACTTTCCTTCTTGTCTGAAGTTTGTTTGTAACTAGATATTGTTCACATTGAGGCAATAAATACGAGAACATATGTGATTTTTTTTTAAATGTGCCCTTTGACTGTCAATATCTCCCAAACAGGTGTTGGCTAAATGATTATAAATTGGCCTCTGGATACACCTCTTCAACTGAGCCGTACAGGACTGGCGATAATATAATTAGACCTAAAAACATCAGGCTGGTGAATGCTTTCCATCTGTTTGGCAATAATGTTTAGTTAACAATAGTCTTTAAAAGAAGCACCTTCAACTTCAGTTCTTAAAGTTATTTATAGGGCCATTCTTAACACACCAGCACTCTTGCTAACAAGAGCTTTAGCCACTTGGAAATTATTAGCCATACGGCTGTATATGAAAAGGAATGGCAGCATTTAACATCTGTATCTCTCCAGATTTACAAGCATCAACCTCATTTAAAGTCATTTCTTAATGAACAGTTCTGTGGTCTGTATTAATATTATAGTTGCATGCACAAAGATCATAAGGAGCCAAACATTTTTTTAATACCAACAGTAGGCCAATCAGTAATGAAGCTGTCAGCATAAAGGACAGAATAATAGCTTCTTTAACCCTCAAACAGGATTTGTTCATTTGTAGAGTAGAAGACACCAATTTAAAAACTGCTCATGGGTTTGCTCACCTTTATAAAGACAAAAATCTAATTTGGTACTAATTTGATACAATTGTCTTTCCAATAAAAGGCTCCTAAAGTCATCTTTTATTCCATGATAAAACAACTGCTATAACTAAAACTGTCATGAAATAATTACCTTTGATAGCATACCTTATTGCACAAATACAATTAATGTATTCCTCCCTTTCATTTTTCACACTTGCTTATCAGCACTGTATTAGCATATGGTGTAACAGAAGAGATTACTGAGCCCTTGTCCTATAAGACAACATATAGGATGACTACCCCCGACGGGAATAAAGCAGACAACGGGTCCCTTTAGGGCTAGCTTCATCTGTTCTTACATTACAATACTGAAGTGAAAGTAGCAGCTACAGTTTTATAAGAGTAACAACAAATAATATTTGTGTGCCTTTTAGGTTAGCTACCTAGATGGACAAACCAGTCTTACTAACCAGCTTCTTTCTTCCCATCAAGCATCATACCTTCTCCCCCAGTGATGATCACTTACAGCTCCACTTCTTATTTCTTTGCTGATTCAATACAGATTTTTTTGCAAGACTGTTTACCTCAAAAGGGACACCAAGAAGCTCAGGAAGAACCATAAAAGTCACTTTAGAAATTCACCCAACAAAGCTGCATTTGGCCCTAGCAGACTACTTTACATGAGCTGCCTAGACAAAAAAAATCTGCTTCAAGGGGAGGGAGCCTGCATGCATATCACTGTCCTGGTTTAACCAGATTCACCCAAATAATTAAAGGACTGCAAGAATGAATAAATCACTAGCAGAAAACTGACATTTCAGGAAGGAAAGAGACTGTCACAAGTATATTTGCTTGACTTTTTATCACACATCCAGAGCAGAGAAAGGTGAGCAGCTCTTGGATGCGTTACCAGGCTGCTGCAGAAGTGCGTAACAGTAAGCCTGCTCTTGACATGAATGCCAACTTAGTGGCCCCACCTCACGCTTTACAGCCAATTTCTGGATGGAGTGCTATCCCAACAAGACTTTCCTGTTTGCACAAAAAGAAGTGCTTGCAAGTTCTTCAGTAACTCTTTTTCTAAGATTTCTATTTAAAATACAAAGTGGCAATGGCACAATAGGACAAAACAGGATTCCACGTAGCATTTCCTACTGCATAACTCTGTCCTTCTCCAGAGCAGATCACACAGAGATACTCGCATTCGACCAGGCTGCTCCTTGGTTGTACAGGCTGATGGAACCTGTTTCACTGATGACTACTACTGTGTAACTTGTAATACTTAATACCTCCCAACAATGAGCGGTCAGCTGTAACATTCAGCATCCTGTCTCAGAGGGGAGGGAGAAAAATGCACAGCAGGGCATTCCTTGCCACTTAGCAACTAGAGTGTGGCACAAAAGGAGACAAGGCAAAATCCTATTTGTATTACCAATGTACGAACAGAGTCAAGGTCCACGTATCATGCTGGCTTTTGCAGCACTGTTGCTTACTCGTTTTTTCCCTATTCTTCTGTATTGATGACGACCTCAACGTGGCCAAAAACACTGACAGGCAAATAGCAATTGCCATAAATAAACATATAATGTAAATAAGTGTATTCAGCAGCACAGACATCCCTGTTTTGTACAAGCACTTGGGCTCCCAGGCATATCACAAAACACAAGTGAACACAGCAGCGTTGCATGGCAGCATCTCAGTAAAGTGGCAAATAACAATAACCCTCCGTGATGCCAAATAGGATTTTCTACTTGTGATTTTTTTTTCTCTCTAAGTCAAGGGTTAATTCTGATGCTGACAGCAAGCAGCTACTTAAAAAAATTAGCTTCTTAGATTTGATTTACAGTGTATCCAACAGCTTAGTGGAAAATAAATTAAATTCAATTCAGTATAGTAGGTACAATTAATTGGAGAAAAATAAAATAAAACCTGCCTAGTAAATAACCACAGTCTAGCTTTAAGAAAACAGTTCATTTCAGGATCCTTTAAACGCAGAGAAATTAGCAAATGTTTCAGTATGCTAATTTTTTTTAATTAAAAGATAT